CTGGCAACTGTTAATCCTCTTTCTATTCAAGAGCCTGGTCCAGCTCCTCACACTGGAACACTCCATCAAAGACGTTCTTTCCCAGGAAAATCCAGTGCTCCCACAGCCAATAGTGTTCATGCTTTCAGAATGTTTGTTTTCGAATTGGGGTGGAAAGGTTGCATTCAGCAGTTATGTCACAATATTCCCCTCTCCAGCAATCCCAACAATGGACGGGCCCCTCTTCCTCTCAGATGTACTGAGCCACCAAAYTGAAAGGTGCTTTAGTGCTTTCTCAAACAAATTAACCCCATTTTCAGCAAGTATCTAAGAGTTGCTGAAATCCTTTCCAGTGGGGTTTTATCTGTGTAAATTTTGCAGGGGATGCATGTGCATCGATATTAATTGAGAGAACAGAGGTAACCCTTGGCAMCAGGGTGTCCCTGGCAGGTAGGGAGCACAAGGTCCTTGTGTGATATCTAGTTTCTTGCTGGGTTTATTTTTTTACGTACTGAAAATAGGCTGAAATTTTTCGTTATATCCTTCTGACTTTTCCATTTTATTTTTTTTTTCAATCCACATTTATATTTAGATGCAAGTGAAACTTAAGCCAGGCTTACAATATTTAACACTCTAAGCAGAATAWATCTACACTATAATGATTTTGTCATGATTTTGTTTAGTCCAACTGCACAGACCCTTGTGACCAAAACTCAGCACTTCTGACAGCCCGCTTTGGAGATGTGCCCTATTATTCCACCCAAATTTATCTTTTATTCATTAGATTCCTGTAACTTTCATCAGTTTTATTCCATGTTATGCATTGGAAGAAAAGTAAGAATCTTCAAGAACATTTCAATAACAATAAAATTTAAATGTGTGTTTCCAGAGGCAGTGAAACATTCAAGCACAGCGTGAGACACATCACAAAGCCACTCTGGCTGGGGTTTCAAATTCTCCTTACAAYCAAGGTATCCTGGGTAGAATTAATACTGTGCTGCTACTGAGTTCAAACCTTGCCCTGGTTTGAATTAACCTTTAATTCCAAACTCAGCCCAGTGGCAGTGGAGTTTGTTTCCCTCAATATTCTGCTCAAGATGCTCAAAGGCCACCAATCCCTTGGCTTCTCTCCCAGGCTCTGAGGTGGTTCAAGGGGCTGAGCTGCTGAGTATTTTTAYACAACAGCAACTACAACAACAAAACAAGCTCAGTCCCCACAATCAATATTTCTAAACTCTCATCAATTTCTGTTTTCAATGAGATCCAACAGTAATTAATGATTTGTGTCTTCAGTGCAGGACAAACCTTTYTCACAGCAAAGTTTCACACAATCCTAAATTGTTGCCAGCAAATCCCACTTCAAGTGGCTTGGACTAAGCAGGGGTTGTATGTTCTGGGGTAATTCAAATGGTTACCTGCAGCTGTACTTCCAGCTACAGCACTATTCTGGATTCCTAGGCTTTTCTCTATCAAAAAATGTTGTTGATATTTTTCATTTCTTCAAATAAACAAGTAGCAGTGGTGGATTCTAGTGAGAAAAATCAAGACATTTCAAGAGAAATGTMTGTTAAGCTACTTCTCATTTAATTAAGGGGATTTTAAGGATGCTCAGCTTTAATTAGTCTTGATATACATAAGGACAAAACTATTTATTTCTTTTCATCCAAGTATGATGCAAAGCAGCTGAACTGTAGATTCACTATAGAATTTTTCTTCAAAGTTTGCTATTTCAAACCAGAGGAGGACATTCAATGCTGCTTTTGCTGCTTGGTTCTTTCTGCTGTGCATGACATGTTCAGGAGTGCAGTGAGGGCACTCACAGGTAAGAGAAGAGGAGGAAGGCCTAGAGGAAGCTCCACTAGCTATTTTTTCAGTTGTCAGTGATTTAYGTAAGGTCATGGCAGCTTTTAAATAGAAGCTGCACTGCTGAGGAGCACAKAGCTGTGATCTGACTCCTGGGTACATCAACCTCACTTCTTGGTTGAAGGGAAAGATCATATATTTTTTAAATGCTCCACGTTTTTCAATTATTTCAGTTTAATAATAAAAGAAAAGGGGTAGATTTGAYTGACCTGTGGCTTGGTGAGAAGAATTTCATATTCTGATTGCTCCCTCCCTTCCAAACCTTCATCCACTGCTGCTGTTCCAGATGTTCCAGCAGTAGAATTTAGGTTTGTCCTCAGGCAGAGCCGTGCTGTCCCTGCTGAGGAAATCCATGCTGGCCCTGGGCAGGATTTCCCCTCCTTGGATCCATTCTTTGCACACATTGGAGGGTACAGTTTAATTACAAGGTCTGGACTTGTTGCTGCTCCCTTTCTGAGGGAAACACCAACCCTTTGTTCTGCTGCAACAAAGGAAATATCAATTTACAGCACTTCAGGGGAATTAATGCTCATTTTGGTGCTAACAGTTCCCCTTGATTGGCACCACTGTCCTTTAGAAATGGGAACACAGGGATAATTGTGTTGAGCCCGTTAATTTGCCATTTGCTTTCTATGACACTCATTACTCTGCGAGGGTGAAGGAGGTGTCCCTGCTCTTTGGGACTCACCAGAACATCCAGAAAACTCTGAGCTCTGATTTCTGCTCCCAGAAATTGGTTGCTTTTAAAAATCTTCATCTCAAGCTTTCACTGAAAATGATATGCTCAAGGCAAAAACGTCTTTTGGTGTTTGAAACATTTTAATCATGAGAGAGTATTAACATTTATTTATGAAGTCGTTTTGCTGATAGGGAAGAAYAGTGCAGGAATTGAAGTGACTGACACACCCACTCTGGAAAAGAAACCTTACTCATGTGTAGGTGCACATGTCCATAAATAAATCCACACAGCCATAAAAAAACTGGTTTGATTAAAACAGAAGGATTTTTTTTCATCATTATTTTACAGYTGACATAAAGCTGAATGGAAAAGGTTTCCATTTCACAATTATTGTGGCCCAAACATAAATCTTTTTGTCTTAAAAATGTGTTATTTTAAAAGGCCTTTTATTACTTGTTGTCCTATATTATTTATTCCCCCTTTTTATCACATTATGCCAATTTTTGTCCTGGTTCTTTTGCCATTATTTCCTATTCTGGGTGATCTAAGAATTTAAGGATTTCTTTTGGGCTTTGAATGAGAATTTGCAAGGAGGATGGACTTTATCCTAAGTAAAATTCCAATCATCTGTCAAATAGCTTAGAAGAACTTTAATTTTAACGATKTATTTCATCAGCCTCTCTGTGTAATTATGGCTCAGTGATGTTGTTTGCAATTCCAAACTGCAGGTATCAAATATGTTCTTCCTCTTCTTGATTAAAATAATCYTTCATTAAAAGCCACCTCTTCAGTTTGATGCATTTGGATGACAGAACTCCAGGTCTGGGCTAACTGAGGGTGYTCCATGCTGGATCACTTCTCTCCCAAATTATCTGGTGGTAGATTTGGAGGAGAAAGTTTTGAAGAATAAAGACTTGAAGAATAAAACTAGTTCCTGGATGAGGAGGAAATGTGGATGAAGTGAAGGCAATTTTACGTTTAAGCAGATAACATTTTAAAAAGTTTGTGTTAGCCCCCTACCACTTTTTTTTTTTTTTTTTTTTTTTTTTTTTTTTTTTTTTTTTTTTTTTCTGGGAATATCTTTTTTTTTTTTTGACTGGGAATATCTACCTTTGTATTAATTGGAAATTAAGGAGATGAACCCTGAGCTTCAGGATTTGGGGTTTTTAACAGATTTTTCTTTACTCTGTTAATTCTGTCCTTCCCCAGCTCCAGAGGGAACTTTGAGCACACCTGTTGTGAGTGGCTGCAGCTTTGGGGGTGTGAAACCTGCCCAGATGCTGCACATCTGTCCACYGTAAAATAATGATGAAAACATTTCCTTCTGTTTTAATCAAATCAGGTTTTTAATGGCTATTTGGATTTATTTATGGGCATGTGCACCTAAGAGTTCAATGCTTTCATTTTCCCACCACGAAGAAATTTCCTTTCATCCTCACCTGCTGCTGGCCACAGCAGACCCTCCCACCTTTTATTTCCTGTCAGGAATCACTGGATCAGACCTCATATCCCTGAATTTATTGCCTGGGCCAATAACTGAACCAAATGCAAAAGGAAAAAGTATTTTATAGCGTTAACTTGCATGCTTTAAACTGAATACTTAACCTTTCTACTAAAATGTAATTAAATTATCTCTATACCGCTGTGCATATTTATATAAAACATAGACTRTGATATGATTTTAAACTRTTTAATTCAGTAGTGCAAGTTTAAGGTACCTGAGGTTGTTATAATCTATATTAACTTGGAAAATAGAGTCCAAATTTTTGCTCAGGATGGTTTATGCCAAGTTAAGTGTTACAAAATTTTATGTGAGTATCCGTATGTGTGCATCTAGAGCTTTAAGTTGCTTCAAAATGTTGAGGTTTTGAAAAGAAGTATTTTAATATTACAGCTCCAGTTACAAAAGGAAATTCATGAGAATAAAGGTTAAAAGGTAATAATAAAGGTTAGATTTTTTTTTTCTTGAAAACCCAATAAAATTAAAAAAAAAATAATGAGGTTTTATTTTAGGCTCATATGTGTTGGTAACTAATTGAAACTCTTTTTTCTTTGACTTTAAAGAGAAAAGCTCTTTAAAAATTAAATTTTTTCCCTTACCTGGAAAAGTGACACATTTGTTCATTTATAATCAGAKACAAAACACTGGAAATATCCTGGATTTTTCCTTTGTCTTCTTTTTACCTTCGCACAGGGCATTTTCAGTAGCCAGAAATGAGGAGCCCTTGATTCAAAATAACTTGATTTTATCCCAGTGTTTCATCAGTAATGCTATCTTTCTTCAATATTGTAATCTTTTTTTTTTTTTAAATTAATTTAGTTTTACCCCATTCTTTTAGAGGTAGTGCTGRTTTTCTTCAACACTACCATATTTTTTTTGTAATTAATTTAGTTTTATCCCATTTAGCTTCATACACAATGCTGGTTTATTCCAATATTATAATTTTTTYCCYTYYTTYYTTTTTTTTTYYCCCAAAAGACGAAGGGTGCTGGCAATTTCTGATGGGATYGAGCACATTGGGAATCTGCGCTGGGAGCTCGCCCTGTGCCTCCTGGCTGCTTGGACTATCTGCTACTTCTGCATCTGGAAAGGGACCAAGTCCACTGGGAAGGTGAGGCTGCAGCTCTGGGCAGCARCTTGCATGTGATGTGTGCTATTCATTTTTATCATCTATTTATATTATTTATATTTTATTATAAATATAAATAATAATATTTATTTCCATCACAACTGGAGACTCGCACATGCATTATGCATTGCTGTAACTGTATTTGTGGGTGGATAAATGGCAAAATTAATTGTAATTAACAGCTGGCTGTACTTTGCATTTTTTTTTCCTCTTGGTTTCATGATTTGCTTTTTCCCTAATTCTGTTTGGTGAAGCTAGATTTATTTTGTTCTATTTTATTTACTTATTTTTATTTTTTGTTTTATTTTTTGTTAATTTTGTTTTATTTTTGTTAATTTAGCAATAATTATTACTGGCCAGGCCTTGAACTATGAAACCAGAACTGGGTGTTGATTTCTGTGCACAAATCCTGCAAAATCTGGATTTTGCCCCAAACTGACAGGAGTCAAAACTCTCAGTCCCTCATGAGAGTCACTGAGAGTTTCAGTGAACGTAAAGAGAGAATTTAGAAATACAGATGGAAAACCAAAAGTAGAAATAATGAAAGCACTCAACGAGGGGCCAAGATGGACTTATTATGGAGAAAAATACAAATATTTAGTGTTTTTTCAGTGAATGCCACTCAATAGYGGGAGCAGGGAGAGRGAGCCATGGGGTGAGGGAGAGGCTGCCCCTGGAGTAGTATCAGAGAMAGCTCTGAGTAGAATCTATGAATAATCAACTACACAGAGAGAGGAAAAGAGCCACAGATCTGGAGGGAGGATCTAAAAAAAGCACGAGTTACTCATATTGGAACTAAAGGAAACCAGGAAAAAAAAAAAAAACTGGTGGGTTGAAACATCTAATTTTCAATTGTTTCTTACGCAGTTTGGGTTGTGGTTGGGGTTTTTCTTTGTTTGTGTTTTGGTAGCCTCTGTTTCTAAATGAAATATTTGAAATGTAATGGTTGKKKTTTTTTTAATTTAGAAAATGCCAGAGTGAATTTTTTCAGCTGTGTCATCTACACCCATGTTTCATCCCATCAATATTTTGGCTGTAGCTAATTGCTGGTTCTGTGTGTATTTGCCAAGTGTGTCAGTCAATCTGGTGCTGCATTTTCCATTCAGGTCTTTGCACACACACACACAGAGATTCCTGCAGCCCTGCTTTTATCGAGTCACTGCAGGAAAAGTGCTGAGAAASACTGTCTAGGGATGGGGATGAGAATGAATAGTTTAGAGGAGAGAGAGAGCAGGGGAAAAGTCCTAAAGAGAGAAGTATGGAGGAGCAGAAATGATCCAAGGGACTGACAAGATGAATGTCCCCGTGTTTTTGATGGAGGCACTCCAGGGAGGTGMWCGAGTGCTTTGGACTTGTCTGAGCRGCTGCAGCTGCCAGGGAAGCAATGGAACTGAGCAAAGCTGATCTTTTTTCTGTCCATCAGAGGGAATATCTGAGGATGGGAACCTATTCTAGCGTGGCTGAATGTGACCCAGGGCTGCAGGGAGGCTCRGTGGCTGCGCCTGTGTGCCCGCACGCGAGGCTGGGCCCGCGGCACGCACCGAAACCGCGCTGCGAGAGAACCTCACGGGAAGGGCTGKRGGGATTTTGGAAAGGATTTTGGAAAGGATTTTTTCTACATTTCTCTGGTTCACATTCAGAATTTATTGTTCTATTGTTCTTCCCTTCTTGCAGTTTATAGCATCTCCCCAGAAACAGATCTTGTGCTTTGAAAGCGGTTAACCTGTCTGACCTTGTTCCTTTCTTTCTCTGATAGCTTAGCTAAACCCTCAGCTTTAGGTAGGTGGAATAAATTGTCTGATTTTATTTCAGTGGGATTGTGATAACCACCTCTGTGATGAGGTCAGCCTGAGAACAAACAGCCTGTCTTGGCCACGTGAAATGGGATGATAAAACTTTTCAACAAGCACAAATAACTCATAGTCTTGCAAGAGGGGTGCAAAGAAAATGGAATTAATGCACAATATTCAGCTTTGTTGGTTTCAGGTTTAAAACATTTTAATCAGGGTTCTGGAAGAGGTAGACTCAGCAATATTTGYACTATTTCAATCAGTCTGCCATGAGCAGCAGTTGTGTTTCCTGTTCCCTGAGGAAGCAGCCTGGTGATTCCCACATGGGCACTGGGGTGTCCATCCTCTCTCTGCCTTTCCAGAGGGTCCACTGCCCTCAGCAGGGATCTGTCATCGCCAATATTGGTGATTTCTGCTTCCAGATCTGCTCCTGTGCTGCAGGCTTTTTCCCCTGGGCATAAATTTACTATTTAGATGCATTTAATGATTTTAATATTCTTCCACTTGCCACTTTTTACAGCCTAATCCCTGGAAATCTGGGCCATGCCATTGCCTTCCCAAAGCAGCAATCTTCCCAGATAAAACCAAAGGCAACACTCAGGTGTTGGGGATGTTATGAAGAGATTAAATGTTCTAAAATACAGCAGATTTATGGGCTGCAACTTCCATTTCTGATATAATGCCATTTCTAAAATTCATATTTTAGCTCATCCACTTTAGGCCTTCCCACTAARTTGAATTTATTATACACTCATTTCCAGGAAACATTTAAAATTGACTTCCGGATTCTTTATTGTAATAATATAACACCCTGTTAAATTTATGATATACTTTAATTGGATTGAATCATTTCAATGAAAAAAAATCCACATTTATTCAAAGCAAAAATCTTCTTAAAGTTTTATCACCTTTGAAAGTGTTTCAAAGGGAGGTGTCTGTGGGACAGGATGGTRGAGRGAAGGAGGACASGRGAAACAGAGGTGAAAYGGAGAAGGTGAGGAGAGGCTGCATCTCCACACATTTGTGCTTTGTGAAATATTCAGGAGGTTGCTTTACCTTTTTCCTCKTTTTTAACTCTGCATTCTAATGCATGGTGAAAAAAGAACCCAAGCCTTAAAAGCTGTTATGAAATAACCCCATCATTCTCCAACCACCACTACCACAGATCATGAATATTTAATATTTTAAGATATTAAATATATTAAGACTAACATAAAGTTAAACTCCAGAGGAAGTGCTTATTACCCTGTTAACAGGATGTTCCAAACTTTTCCATTACTGTTCTTGAAATTCATCACTTTCTCACAAAGCATTTCCATTTTCCATTCCTGCAGATGTGAAACAGCAGAATGAAGTCAGGTGATTCTGGCAGCTCTCAGGTGAAAYACATTTGTGCCCTTTCAGAGGTTCTTGTCCTTAATTATCAAAGCTTTTCTTGCCCTTAACGATCCAATCTCAGATCTGAGGATATTTGTGCTCCAGCTTTCACACTTTAAATGTTGCACATGTGCCAAATGCAGGGTCTTTCAATGAGAAACTTCAAATCAGGAGGATAAAAGTGTGCCAGTGCAATGTTCCCAGAATGTGATGTGTGTTTTGCACCTTGCTGAGATCATGTCTGATCTCCATCTCATGGAGAAGTGTTCTCAGAAGCTGAGATCAAATGCTTCCCAAGATGATGCAAGAACTGCCTAAAAGACTGAAGAAAGTTAATTTTTTAGACAATTTAATATCATTCCAGTCTCTAATCATTAGGCTTGGTTTAGTATCYGATTTTTCCAAAATACTTCTGATTTTTTAGGACAAATCTGAKTTTTTCTATAATGTATGCAGAGTTGCTGTGTCTTCCTAATTTTTTGATCTTTATGTTTCATTAATGAAATATTCAGGTACCAGGAAACCAGTTCTTTTATGGATCCTGATTATCCATTTATTAATTTAACTAAATGTCCTTGTGCTCTAAACTTTGAGAGAGCAGCACTAGAAGCTGCTAATCAATTTTTCCTAAATTGCTTACTGAAGGAAGAAGCTTATAATTTGCCTTTCTTTTTTTTTTTTTTTAATTTTCATGAGAGTTGCAGACAGACCATTCCCCTGAGCTCAGAGTTGTGTCTCACTTGCAGCAACTTGTGCCCAATTCCTTTTGAAAGGAGGAGCCTGCTCCACTCACAGTTACAGAAAAGCATTTTAAGTCTTTTCTCCTGCTCTGTCTCCCTTTTGGGATGCACCTGCACATCCCTGCCTTGTGCTGTTATCCCTGTTTTGAACCCTGGCAGGGACCTGGGTGTGCAGAATGACTGAGTTGTGCAGATTGGGAGGGGTCTTGGAAAGTCTCTGCTCCAACCTCTTGGTTAAGGAAAGTTCAACACTGAACTTGGAGCTGTTGGTGTTTGGCTGCATCTTAAAACCCTCCAAGGAGACAGATTTCTCATGGCTTGGGAAAACCTCTCTGAGTGCCWAATTTCCCTCATGATATGAGTCATTAATCAATTATTTCCTACATGTAGTTCATTCCAATATTTAATTTTGTTATTAAATTATTTTTTATTACCTTGTTATATTTCTGTTATCCAGCCCAGATCAAAACCCGTTTTTATATCATCTGTGTCACTACAGAGAATGGGTTTGAATGTCTCCAATTATTAATGCACACAAACTGATTTGAAAAGACTTCTATATTAATAATCCAAATTAATAGACTCAAAAATAATGCAGCTTTCGTGTCTGGACATCTGGAATGGGAATGAGAGCTAATCACCATTGATGTGCTTCAGCTTTCTGTGCTGTAGATGAGGAAGGGCTGAATCAAAAGTATCAAAAAAACCCATAGTCTTCCTATGATTTTCAATTTATTGATATCAGAATATTTTACCCCACCCACAGCACATTAACAGCTTTTGCCAAACCATAGATGAGGTTTTGTCATTTCATGACTCAACACCAAGCCAGCATTTACTGATGGGAAGTGTTAAAAGAACATTGTTCTGTGCCTCCAGGATTTTATTGAGTATTAGAATATCACACTGATTGTATGAGCAATAAGACCAATTCTCATACATTTTGGGTCTTTTAGAGTGGGTTCTTGTTAATAGCATGAAAATATTCTTTTGCCAGACCTAAACTCAAATAGTTCTTGCACAGTGATTTTTACTTCTCCACTAGTTACTGGTTAATGAGAGATAAGAAATCCTT